AATAATTGTGTTACATTTCGCAATTGTGTGCAAGATTTGATTCAGAAGGGAATGTTGAAGTATGCCGAAAAAGATAAAGGGGTCATGGCAGTTGATGGTGATCCATTTCCCAATATTGTGGAAATTAATATGGTATCAACTGATTTTTAGTCAAATGATCAAAAGAAAAAGGGAAAAGACCTTAGAGTTCTCTGGTAGAGTTAGAAAAACTTCACAAGGAGAGAATGGAAAAAATGGCAAAGGAAACAAAAGGGAAAAAAGTTCAGGAAGAACCTAGTTAGAGGTTCATTTGTTTCAGGTGTGGTACTGATAAAAAAAAGGCTAAGGCCATTGTGATTAATGAAATTCAAAAAATTGGAAAAGATGTTGGCCTGAGGTTTAACACTATGGGTAGTGGTGATTTGCAAATTTTTTATAATGATTGTATGTTCTATGATGGGATAGATCTAGGAATATTTGGTCCCGCAGAGAACTATGGCAAGGATGATGCTCCATTTTTATTCCAAGGAGCTCCTGTTCATCCATTGTTTGGTGGATCAAGCAATGTCAGGGCTATGCTCAAGCAATACAAGGGTGCTAAATCCTATGGAAGTCCAAAGGTTGTGGCCAGGCCATACAGTGGCCAATAACAGCAGTCTGGTTTGTCATACAGTGGTCATCAACAGGCGGGAAGGCCATATGGAGGGCAATAACAGTTTGTAAGACCATTTGAAGGATTTCAACAGCATCATGGCCCAAGAATGAGGCCAGAAATACATCCAGTTCAACCAAGGATGGTGAAGCCACCAATACCATCTCATCTAGGGTGGCAAGGGGTTTCTTACCCAAAGTTCCCAATGAGTGGTTGGAGGCAAATGGGAGAAACAAGAACTCATAAAACGAGAGAATAAAGGAGATTCCATGCTATGATGTCTACAGCTGCAGGTGATAGGCCAGCTGGAAGGCAGGATCTAATATGGACTAGAAATGGATTGGTTCCTACTGCTGCAGCAGTAGGGAAGGAAGGGAAGGGTTCAACTTCAGAGCCCATCCAGTTCAGCCAATTCAGCTTTTGAAAAGGAAAATGGAGCCCGAAAAGGCAGATGATAAACCTGTTGGGAAACTCTCTGAGAAGGCTTTGCTAGGGCAGAAGTTGAAAGAATTAGAAAAAGATCTAATGTCTGATGAAGAAGACAGTATTGAGAAACATGTAGCAATGAAGGATGATCAAGATCAAGAAATGGTCACTGATAACATGAATATTAATGAGGAGGTTAAGGAAGATGAAGTCAAGGCAGATAGCTCTGATGGTGACTTTGGAGAAAAATTAGCTGCTATTCATTTTGGTTCTTTACCTCCATCCAAGGAGTGTAACATGATTATGACCATCCCTTAGAGATTTCAGGCTAGGCCAAACCAGCCAGATGCATTGGCAGGAGATGTTGAAGATCTGACTGAACCAACAGTTCAGGTAGCAGTGGTTGAGACACAAACCAAGCCACTAAAGTCAATTGAGGTGGTTAGGTCTATCGATGGAGAGAAAGTTGTGCTAAAAAAACCAAAGGATAAGCTCATCAGGAATCTAAGGCCTTTATATGTCAGAGCTTATTTAGAGGGGGTCCCAATAGAAAGGGTTTTGATTGATGATGGAGTCATTGTCAACATTCTTCCTTCTAGGGCACTGAAAGCTATTGGGAAATCTGTTGATGACTTGCTCCCTATTGATGTGAACATAAGTAATTTTGCTGGTGGATCATCTGAGGCCAAAGGAGTGGTGGCTTTATAACTATAGGTTGGTTCCAGGTCAATGGGAACAACTTTCTTTGTAATAGACTCCACTTCGAACTACAATGTGCTACTAGGTAGAGATTGGATACAGCTTAATGGTTGTGTACCCTCTTCTTTGCACCGGGCATTGATTTTCTTAACCAATGGTGGTAAAGGAGGGATGGAAGTTTACTGGGCAGATGCAAATCCCTTTGTTGCAGATGTTAATAACATAGAAGTTGTGTTGTATGATGAGGATTTGGGTCCAGTTGTGATTGATGAAGAAGAGGTTAAGTCTCAGAGAGAGAGTTTGACAAGTGAAGAATTCAAGGCCTTCATTGGAGAAGGTTTTAAGCAGATAGGCCAGGAATTGGCCAAGCCAAGCCTGATGGAGAAGTAGAAAAGGCATGTGATAGAAGAGGTTGCTGAGGATGAAGAGTAATGCAAGTACAAGTGACAGAAGAAGACAAGCTGGATGAGACAGCTAATGTAATTAGATTTACTTTTTCTAGGCTTTCCTATTTCTTCTTAGAAAGTAAGTTTGGCTCTAAGTGTATGCCCATTTGTTCTTGGGCAGAATATGTTACTGACAGTAGCCCTCTGAGTTATAAAGAGGTGCAATTGGAGCATCTGAAGGCTGCTCCTGCCAAACTTGATGACCTCAAGGCAGATGTGCAGGACCCTTTAGATGAATATAACTTAGGGAGTAAGGCCTGTAAAAGGCCCGTCTATGTAAATGCTAATCTATCTAATGAATGTAAGAGCAAGCTAGTTGGTTTGCTTTTTGAGTATGTGGATTGCTTTGCATGGACTTATGAAGAAATGCCTAGATTAGACAGAACATTGGTAGAGCATAGACTCCCAATTAAAGGAAATTTCCTTCCTCAAAAACAACCTCCAAGAAGGATGACCAATGAAGTCACCTTATTGGTTAAAGACGAAATTGAAAGATTACTCAAAGCAGGTTTTATTAGAACAGCGAGTATGCTGAGTGGCTGTCTAATATTGTCCCTGTAATGAAGAAAAATGGCAAGTTAAGAGTATGCATAGACTTTAGAAATCTAAATCTAGCAACTCCTAAGGATGAATATCCTATGCCAGTGGCTGACTTATTAGTGGACTCAATAGCCAAAAGGGTATAATCAGACTTTTATTAACCTAGAAGATACACATAAAACAGCCTTCAGGTGTCCTAGTGCTTTGGGGACATTTGAATGGGTAGTCATGCCTTTTGGATTAAAGAATGTAGGGGCAACATACCAAAGGGCAATAAATTTTATTTTCCATGATTTGATTGGCAGATACTTAGAAGTATACATAGATGATGTAGCCATCAAGTCTGACAATTTTGATGAGCACTTGAAGCATTTGCAACAAACATTTCAAAGAATGAGAACTTACAAACTCAAGATGAACCCTTTAAAATGTGCATTTGGGGTATCTGCTAGAAATTTTCTGGGTTTCTTAGTACACCATAAAGGGATAGAAGTGGATGTCAACAAAGCCAAAGCAATTTTGGAGGCAAAACCCCCAGCCAACAAGAAAGAGTTGCAAAGTTTTCTTGGAAAAGTAAATTTTTTGAGAAAGTTCATAGCCAATTTAGCTGAGAAAACTTTAGCATTTTCTCTTTGGTAAAAATTAAGTCAGATCATGAGTATAAGTGGGAGACATACCATCAAGAAGCTTTTGATCTACTCAAAAAATATTTGGCAAACCCTCCAATGCTTATGCCCCCAGTGGCAAGAAAGCCTTTGAAGTTGTATATCTCAGCTTCTGACCTGTCGATTGGTTGTTTATTGGCTCAAGAAAATACTATGGGTCATGAGCAAGCCATTAACTACTTAAGTAGAAGGCTAAATGATGCTGAGACTAGGTATAACTCTGTCAAAAAGATGTGCTTGGCACTTTATTTTGCAGTCATTAAACTGAGGCATTACATGTTGCCTGCAGAGGTGTATGTAGTGGCACAAACAGATGTGATTAAATATATGTTGTCCAAGCCTATCTTGAGAGGAAGACTAGGCAAATGGATACTAGCTTTAATCAAATACTGTTTCAAATATGTACCACAAAAAGCGGTTAAGGGGCAAGCCTTGGCTGATTTTCTAGCAGAACATCCTTGTTCCTCGGTCGATTTAGACCTGTATGAGGCCAATGTGGTGGAAAATGAACCTTGGAAGTTAATGTCTGATGGTGCAAGTGTTGTGTTGATTGCACCAAACAAGCAAATGTACTAATTTGCGTATCAGTTGGAAGCACAACATATTCACTCCTGCAATCAAGCTAAGTATAAAGCTTTGATAATTGGTCTAGAGTTGACCATAGAATTCAAAATTAGAAGCCTCCAAGTTTTTGGAGATTCACAGTTGGTCATTAAGCGAGTTTTGGGAGAGTTCAAGTGTGTAAGTGGTGTGGTGTTCTAGGGGAGTATCTAACTGAGGCAATTGGTTGATAGATTTTCCATTAAAGGGACATGCATGACAAGCTTGAATAAAATATGATAGATTTTCCATTAAAATGCCAGCCAAAAGTACAATTCCAACAAGTACAGATCAAAATAATTACATTTGGTCTAGTCTTTCTGAAAATACATGGAAAGTCTACTCCAAGCTTGAAGGGCAGTTTGGTGCTTGATTTTATTATGCCTGAGTCTGGTTTGGACCTGCCTAATGGCAAGTGGACCACCTTCTGCTTGAGCAAACAGAGTTGGGATTTGTTGAGCAAGGGTGGTTTGTCTTTGTTCAGGAGCAGCTCTTTGAGTTCTCACAAGTGCTAGTTGAGCTTCTAGTTGGTTTTTTTCTATTGTAAGGTTAGCAATTTGGATGGTGAGGGCTTGTAATTCGGTGGAGGCCTCAGTCAGAGCAGTGACCGCTTTTTTCATTTGGTCCACTTGAGTTTCAGTTGTCTTTGGCTCAGAGTGGAATTGATTGATAGCTGCCAAGTGTTGGGGAAGTTCCGAAAGGAAGTTCTGGAAGGCTTGCACTTGGTTTGGATCAAATAATTGAGGCACTAGAGGTGCAATGGCTTTTAGGCATTCAGTAGAATTGTGGTTTGCGAAAGGGCTAGAACATCCAAAGATTGATCAAGCAAGTTGAAGAACTGGTCCATCAATTTTTGATCTTCACCAGTCAGTTGCTTTATTCTGCCTCTGCCTTCGACAGAAAGACTGGCAACAGTTTCTTGTATAATAGGAATGCCCAGAAGCCAGTTTTTAAGTGAAGAAGAAGATACAATTGCAGGCTGTGGCAGTAAGAAAGTGAAGTTAATCATTGGTGTAACTTAAAATATTAAAAAAAAAATGTGTGAAAAGATTAGGTGATTACCAGTGATTCTTGAGCAATAAAAGTGTTGGTGTTGGTGACCACAACCTCTAGAGTTAGCTCCTGGACAGGACTATGAATGTAAGAGGTTTGGACCCCCATGTTCATGGTAAAAGGATGAGTAATCTCTTCAGGGGAAGTTCTTTTTTCATCTAAAGGTGATTCACTCTCCAAGATTTCAGCATTAGCCTTGTCAACTTCATCATTTTGATTCAATAGTGGGATTTGGCTATTTTGATGAGTGTCATCATTTGGATCAGGGGTAGGCTCATGAATAGGAGAACTCCTATCGATAGGAGATGTTTGGCTATCAGGGTTGTCAGTTAAATCAGTTGGGTTTTCTCTGACATAGCCTAAGTCAATTGGAGTCTCTATGGCATGGACAGGGACTTCCGATTCCTCTAAGGAAGAGGCCACACCAGGAAAATTTATGACTTCATTGGTTCCATGGCGTACTCCTCTAAGAGGAAAGGCCATCAAATCCCTTAGGGCTATCTCGTGAGGAATATTAGCCATAAGGTATGCCAATTCAGTGGCTAATCCTCTTAAGCCCACTCTCTCTGGGTCAACTCTTTCTGGATCAGCCTGTTTTTCCCTAATACCAGCCTATTCTTCTTGAGTGAGTTAGGGATTCATGTGCCCTGAGTTTATTTGAGGAGAATGCATTTTTGTCTGGTCTTCAAGCATAGAAGGTGGAATGGTCTGGGCCTCAGGCAATCTCTCAGAAGCAGAAGGAGATGCAACTGGAGAGAGAAGCTTTCTCCTCTTGTATAATTGAAAGTATGACTAAAAGAGAGGAAGAAGAGTGGAATAAGGTGTCAGTATGAACAAACATAATACATATTGACTCAGTAAGAGTTTGAATGAAAACTATACCTTTATTAGAGAAGAAGAAGAACTGCTAGAGGAAGACGATGCTGGTATAGCAGGAGCTGTGACTTGAGGAGGAATTGATTGTTCTTGCCTTCTTTTTGACCTCCTCTCAAGAGCAACACCACCCTCCAATTGAGACTGAGAAGGTAAACGTTCTTGGTGTTCTTCTTGCCTACTCTTGGTCCTCCTCTCAATCTCTATACCTTGGTTGTAAGGTATGAACCCCTCACAGCTAGTGGTGTATGAAGGATTGCCTTTAGGTTTTTTTAGGGGGTTCATTGGAGCCTTGCCTTTGTCCTTAGGAGTTGGATCGGCCTGGGTAGGCATCTCTATAGCCAAGGGGGTAATCTTGCGAGGAGGTTGTGCTACATATATATATATATATGAATGAGTGAGCAGAAATGGCTAAATAAACTCAAAAAGTAAGCAATATACATAAAGAATGGAAAAATTGGTAGAATTACCAATGGTCATCTCTGCTCCTCACCTATTGCCTGGGTGCACATTCCAAAGACAAGCCTGAAAATCTTCATCAAAGATCAAGACACTCATTAAAGACCACCATTCATTAAACCTTGTGGTAGTAAAGGGATAATCTGGCAATAGAAAAAGCTGAATTGATCAAATAACTTTTGATTTTCAGCCAGCAGATCTTTCACTTCTTGAGAGATTTTAAATTGAATCCTGGATCCCACTTGTTCATGGATGGTAAAGTATAAGTAAGGACAAGGGACAGTTTGATATAGTTTCATTTGTCTAGTCCACTGACAGGGATTATACCTTTCGAAGCTACAGTTGGAAAGCCTGCTGGTAGAGATGGATCCACCTACTAGAATGTATCTGGGAATAAAAATTTGAGCCCAGAAGTCTTTTTGTTGTTGCCTCCAAGTGTCACTCAATGTTTGAGGAGCAGTATTGATATATGTTGATCCAGTGGAAGTGAACTGAAAGTTATGGAAAGGGATGAAAAGCTGAGGGTCTCTATTGACAGGTAGCTCAAATAGAATAGTGAAAACCTTGGTAAATGAATTGGATGAGGCTGGTCGAAAAGATAAGAAGAATTCAGCATAACTTTCGCAAGGAGAGAAGTAAGGGGTTTGAGTGGTAGGCTTAATTTCAGGGAAATAAGCATAGAGCCAGGCTTGAAAGAGCCAAAAAGGACCTCCACCACTATGATCTATCTCTTTATTGACTAAAGAGAAAAGACCCCTATATAATGTGCCCAAAAGAAAAGGGGCAAAGGTGTGCCTTCTTGGATACAAGTTGCCAGGACCAAATACTTTTTGGTAATTTTAAGACCTGGGACACATAGAAAACGTTGGGAGAGCCACAATAAGTAAAAAGCTGCTGGAAATTTGTGTTAATGTGCCAAAAAGGACCTCCACCACTATGATCTATCTCTTTATCGACTAAAGAGAAAAGACCCCTATATAATGTGCCCAAAAGAAAAGGGGCAAAGGCCAGTTGTGTGCCTTCTTGGATACAAGTTGCCAGGACCAAATACTCTTTGGTAATTTTGAGACCTGGGACACATAGAAAACGTTGGGAGAGCCACAATAAGTAAAAAGCTGTCCTTTCTTTTTTGATGGGTTCACCAGAAAATCGTTGATATTTTGTTTGGAACTTTTCATAACTGAGGTCAGTGTCAAGTGGGGCTACTGATTGAGGAGTTAAAAGAGCACTTATATGTTGGCCAGTAACAAGGAGGCCAATCAAATGTACAATATCAAGAATGGTGGGAGAGATCATATCAAACTTTAAAATGAGAGAGTTACAGGACAGAGACCAAAAACAAGTTGCAGCGCCAATAGCCCATTTGTCCATATCTAGGGCTAATGTTGACAGTTGAATGACATCATAAATGCCAAGAGCTCTCCAAAGGTCAATATCGTAAATCATCATGCGATGAACCCATAATCTTCAATTAGGGTTTAGTTTTTGCAACGAACGTAAGGGGTTAGGGCTCGAATGCCACTGGTTCCAGGCTAGTTTCGCTTTTTTGAAAATGGGATAATAAAGGGTAAGTTCATCAGGGATTTTGGCAAAAAAAGGTTGGACCTAATTCTCCTTGGGCAGAGGTGTTGCTGCTGGGAATAATGCAGCTGTTAAAAATATGTTGGCGCAGTATTGGTTGGAACTCAGTTGGGAAGCGTTGCACAAATGGCATCTCTACTTGTTTCTTTCCTTTGGTTTGAGCTCGTTTGGGTGCCATTGGAGTGTATAAGCAAAAAGAAGGGTTTTCAAAGCAGAAGGCGAAGAACAGAGTAGAGCAGAGGGTATGAGAATGGTGAAGTGATGATTTGAATTTTGATGTCCATATAGCTTATGGTGGACCCTCTTGATTAAGTTTAGGCCTGTCACTAACAATTGGGCTTGACGGTTGGGCCTTTTTCGTTTGAATTCATATTAATTTTAATTTAACGTCCGGATATTACTTTAAATATTTTGGCTTCGATCTGTGGGCTCGTTTTTATAAGCCTAAATGTATCGTCCAGATATATAAATGTCCAAGCCTTATTTTGTCCTTCTGATATTCATTCAAAACAAAAATATCTTTTTGCCTTAAATGAGGGGAGCATTGTTGGCACTAAAATTTATCATCTCTGTCGAATGGCTACAATAGATACAGAGAGTTGATCCAAGGGTAGCTAGAGGTGAAAATCTTAGGTTGCGTTTGGTAGAGTTTTGTAAATATGATTTGAGAGTATGAGTTGTATTTTAAGTTTGTGAGTTGTAGAAATATGATTTGAGTGTAGAAAATTTGTTTGGTTATAGTTTTTGAAGAGAGTATTGAATTAAGTTTTGAATTAAGTTTTGAATTGAGTGTGGAATTGAGTTTTGAAAGTTTGATTTGACATGTGAAGTCAGAAAATTTGTTTGGTTATGAGTTTTGGAAAGAGTTTTCAAAACTTAATTCAAATTGTTATAACTCATAACAAAACACACTACTTTTACACTATTGAAAATTCTTATCAACACTCATAACCAAACTCTTTTTAAAATTCAATTAAAAAAATTATTATTAACAGAAAATAGCATTAATCAATTTTTAATTGAAAATACTACAAAGGAAATAAATTTTTTTTCAAAATAAATATTGAAAAATTTGAATCATAAATATTTAAATAATTTAAATAATCTAAAAAATTTAATAAGTAAAAAATTAAAATAAATATTCAAAAAATTTAAAACATAAAAATTTAAAAAATTTAAATATACGAAAAATTTAAATAATTTAAAATGTTAATATTTTAAATTTAAAAACAACTCTACACTCAAATCGTAACCAAACACATAAAACAAAACTCAATTAATAAATTATTTTTAAAACTCATAACCATACACATAACTCGAAACTCCATACTACTTTCACAACTCTACACTCAAATCGTAACCAAATACATAACAAAAAAATTAAAATATTTAAAAATATTTTTATAAAATAGAGTTTGAATTTATTTTTATAAAATATTTAAAATTTTAAAAAATTAAAATCCTAATATTTTGAAATCAAAATATTTAAAAATATTCAAAAAATTAAAAAATTAAAAAAAATCGTAACATATGTAAATATTTAAATATTTAAAAAATTAAAATATTAATTTGAATTGAGTTTTGAAAAGAGTTTTAAATTATGTGTTTGGTTATGAGTTTTGCAAAGTAATGATTATGTTTTGAATTGAGTTTTGAGAAATGGGTATAAAATTATGATTTGAAAGTTCAAAACAAACAATTCACTCAAATAAATGGGTGAAACTATAATTTGAAACCCTAACCAAACGGAGCCTTAAGTTTCCAATGGGAGGTGTACCCTAGAATGTAGAGCTAAGTAACTGTTAGAATTTCCCATCTTTACCTTCACCTACTCCACTACACACTCCACTTCACCTACCTCTACTCCACTACACACTCCACTTCACCTAACCCACTATCACCTCCACTACACCTACTACCACATTTTCTTCTATATATAGATTGTATAGGAATTGTAATTAATGCATCTTGTAATCTATCAATCAAGACATCAATCAATAATACATAAATTCTTACAGTAACGCAATTAAAGGAACAGATATGGTAGACGCAGTTTTCTTCTGTCAATTCCTCTGATAATACGATAAGATGGGGCCAAACGTGGCCCAAGTGTCAAGTTATGAGATAACGCACGCAGATGATGCAGAATACGTGGTTTCTTTGCAGAGAAAAGGAGTGCTACAACAGAGGAGCAGTTACAAACAGTTGTGAAGATCATGAGTAATTATGCAAGAAGTGGAGGGAATTTGCTCCATGATGGGACACGTGGCAGTGGAGAAGCAACAAAGCCAGCAGCATAAAGGCTGGAATTTCGAAAGAAAGAAGGACGATCAAACACACAACTCATATGGAATTAGGAGTAATTTAACTTAGTTAGCAATAGCTTCTGTATTTAGGAGTAGTCTGTGTAGAATTCAACCTCTGTGGCCAAGTTCCCTCCGTCGATTGTCATGTACATTGAGCTTGTAATTTAGTGGCAAGTTTACTTGTTCTTCAATCGATTTTCATTTTATTCACATTTGTTTCTTTGCATTACAACCTCCATAAAAGTCCTTGAATCTATCAAGGCACAAGACATTCAAACCACAATTACTTGATTTGTTGTTGTTTGTGAAATTCTGGGTTTTCTGTCGAATCTCGTCTGCCGATTTGGCCCAAACCAGATTTTTGCTAACAGTGTCGATGTCCAACACGGACACAACACATATACGCCACTTTTTTAGAAGTGTCCGTGCTTCTGAGCTAGGCATCCTAAGAATATTTTGAAAAAAGTACGCTCATTTAGTCCCATGGGATGGGGGCATCCTAAGAATATTTGACTGAAGAAAAGAATTGGCCAAGATTTTTGAAGCGTGTTGGGCGACAGTCTCTACCGAATTAATGAAGAATTTAGTAGGCTGCCAGAGAGATTTCCATGTATTTGTTAAGTTCCAACCAGATCTCACTATTAGAGGAGGAATTCCTTTTATTTTATTAACAAATGGGGACAGTAGTTGGTTAGATGCAATGTCTCCAAAAATGAGAGAATGGTTTGATGTTAATGTAACCACTGTCATGATTAATGAAAAATTTTATTAATTTTATTTATGAAACCACTCAAAATTTTATTTACTTACTACATTTCCCTTATCATCAACTATTACATCTTGAGTCACATAACTATTTTTTACACTGATGATTACATTTCGTAAAACATTAGAAAATTCTGCTGCATCCATAACAACTGATCCTCTACGATCAACTTCCTCTTTGCTAACACCAACCTCTGAAATCGACGGACCAGGATCAACATCACTAGTGTCATCACCACCTCTGCGTACATCAATCTTTGACAAACTCAGACAACCTCTGCGTTCATGAATAACTGAACCACTTTCCCCAAAACCTCCTAACAACAAATCTTTTCGCCTCTCCGGTAAACCAACAGACTTAGTCATCACCACCTCTGCGTACATCAATGTTATATTTTTTAGATAACACAACAATAGAGGGAGCCCTCATTTGCGAATCTTCTGACATGTCACTCGTAGAATACTTCAGATACCCCTTCATTTTACAATACGTAACCCCCCTTTTAATATTCGAATTTTCAAGTCGATACTTCACCATCCATGGCACCTGTTTGTCGTTAATTGAACAATAACCATTCCCATAATAGACTAACTCGCATTGACAATCCACAAGGAAAAGAAACCACACCTGCAAACCGTCATTACCTTCAAACCTCCGATTATAAACATTTACTCTAACTAACCCACTGGCATTGGGTGCACAAAGGGGGAATATTTTATCAATATTTTATCAACCTCAATACTTTTTTGTTTGTATCTTAACCTCAATTGAGAAAATAAAGACAAAGGCCTAATACTAATAAACAGATAGAAAAACTACATATAATAGAATATTTAGAAGAAGATCATTAAAAATAAAAATACATCAAATTACAATTCTAAACAGTTTTAAAGTACATTTGACTCCTTAAAGTAATTTTGCATTCCTTTCCACTAACAGTAGCAGCCACTAAATATATGGCACCCTTTTGAATACTTCCAACATTTCCCAACAGCGTATCTTTGTAGTCCGTCCAAATATCAACTGGGAAGAACCAGTCTACAACTTCTATCCCGTGACGAACGTACTCTTTGTCCTTGCCACCAATGAGCTTGAATCTCATTTTCTTTAGCATCCGAAACCGGTCGGACTAGTCAGGATCAACAATCCAGGTCTCAGGATTACCCTCCCCAACTCCAATAAATATCTTGTCAGGTGTGGGGATGGAATCTGACAGACTATTATCACTTATGATGAAAAACAATATATGGTGGACCACAGCTTCGTCATTAGCATCTTGTCCCAATTGAACATTCCCAATTAATTTTATACCTTTAACCACGATCTTGTCTGATTGACAGTCACATCTCTTATTACCCAACTCAATACTATTAAGCAATCTGGTCACACCTTTATTATCAAATTTAACGTCCCTTAATTGTTCATCGTACAACTGCAACTTCCTTACTCTCCTCTTAGTCTTCTTAATATAACGCGAAATATTCTGAACGTACCGTCGGCGAATGTACGCCGCCTTAAAAGGTGCACGACCACGGTAACTCCGCTTTTATCCACTGACCGCCGGTGTCCTTGACCTTCGGTACGCAAAGGGGGTCCGATACTGGCTACTTCCTATTCCTTCCATTTTTTATAAAACACTCCAAATCTTTTATCCTACAAATTCTGTTGATTCTCTTACCTCTGCTAACCCTTCTGTTCAGACACCTTAGCTTTGATATATTTGTCCTCTGCTCCTCGTACACCGGAACAAACTTCGCCGGAGCTAACCGCCGGCTCTCTTCCCACAGCCCTATTTGCCACGTCAAAAAGCGATCTACACACATTTGAGTGAACTGCTCGTAATTCTCGGAATACTCTTCTAAGGAGTACAACATTGTATACCAAATAAATCAACAAAAAAGACAAAGAAAAGGATGGACGAAATAAGGTACTAGAAAGCAACTTCACCACAATAGCTATACCACTGCAAAAGCATATTCCTCTATGCCATAAAATATTTTCTGGTACCAAATATATAGCAAAACTGGCCCGCGTGTAAGGATGAAGATTCCCCATTCAAAATAATTCAAACGCATTTATTTTCCCGCCTTTGCTTTATCATTCTGCAAAAATATTTTCTTTACAGCCACGCAAACCACCAGAAGAGCGACACGTGTATAGCAATATCTGGCAAAGGAATCAAAAGTACTCACACAACTCACATCTAGGCCCGGGTGTGACTTCCTTTTTACTACATCCATACACGTGTCCATAAGTACAGCAATGGACGGCTCAGATCAGCGGGACGGAGGGGGGCACTGGTAATATTAATACAGCGCCCCCCCAGTCACACCATTCACACCAGGTTTTTTAACTAATAGGGAGGCCTTGTACGGCTGGTGTGAGTTCATTGTTTACCACTACAAAATGCCTCGCCAAGCCTCTTTCCGTTTTTATGCCAACAATGTTTTCCTCGCTTACCCACAATGCCCATGCCCAAAAGAACAACTCTGTCAACAATAGCAACTTGACCTATGTTTCCTCCCATACATGTGAAGGAGGAGAGGGGCAGTACAAATGTATGCACATGGGATATGACCCCTCATATGATGATTACACAGAAAGGAAGAATAAAATAAACTAGATTACACCATTGAGTCCTCTTAATCCATTTAAACATTCAAAACAAAAGAGATACATGATATGAGCTATTAACATATTAAAGTTGTATGTTTGGAAGGAAAAAGGATGACTAAGAGGATAACTTACAGCATCTTTGGCTTCAATTTTCTCTGCCCAACCATTCATGGTATATGGATCATTAACAGCTACGCATATTACATGATCAATTCCTTTGCCCTTGAACTTATCAATGTTTTTCTTGTAACTAGGAACATGCTGGGCCGAACAAACTCCAGTGAAAGCACCCTGAAAAAAGTAAAACAACAGTCATGACAGTTACAATGCATAATAACCAAAACATAAGACCAAAAAAGGCAGATTATTGAAATGGGTATGTAGGTGGATCTCATTTGCAGTCTTTGTAGGAATGAAGCGGAATCTCATGAACACCTGTTCTTCTTATGTCCATTTGCTGAGAGTATTTGGGCAAAGTTGCTTGCTTACATTGAATCATATTTACAGTGATCCTTGGGTTGGTCTGATGAGCTTTAGAGGGCAATTTCGTACCGTAATAACAGCAATCTGAGATGCACTATGTTCAAGCTTTCTTTGGCTTGTACTCCATATCAAGTCTGGCTAGAAAGGAATGGTAGAGTTTTTGCTCAGGATTTTAGACATCAATATGTGATTGTGGCTGACATGATTAAGGATATTAGAGCTAGAGCTAGCTCAATAAGGGGAGTTAAGAATTCTTTGCAAAATAGTTTGTATTGAGTAGGGGTTTCCTTGCTCTACGCTGCAATCATAACACTTGCTCCCCTTCTGGTTCTATAGTTCTTTTTTATGGTTTAGTTTCTGAGTTTGTTTTATTTTGTTTTGAAGTGTTGGGGTGTGCCCCTTGTTTGTTTTGTAATGGTGTTTTCTTGTGATACAAAATTTAAAGGTACAAGAAAAAAAAAATTCAAATCAAGGAAAGAAACAGAAAAATAAATTATTGCTGCCAGGGTATATTCTGTATATCTGAGTTATCAAAGTGGAGTCCTGCGTTGCACACCCAAATCCTTTCACTAAAGAATTCGAAGGCACCGTATTGTCCCATACCAAAATCCTAATTTTGGGTATTTTTACATTTCTTCTTTTTGCCGTACAATTTAATTTCTTGAATCTCCAAGAAAGGGTCAGTAATTTTAAAGCATGTTATTGATAATTCTAGTAGAGGTAACTTAAATGCTGCGTTTGGTTTTCAGACAGAGGAGAAATAGGAATTGAAAGGACAATGATACAAGGAAAACTAATTGCCTCATATTCTCTCCTTTGAAAAAATAACTAAAAATTAAAATTTATCAACCATGATTGAAGAAAAGTAGAAGGAAATATAACATCCACAATAAAGAATTTCTCTGCTAGTTTGCCTCAAATTTATTTTCCTTCGATTTTCCATTGTCAGTAAACAACATAAGATTATTTCCTAGCATTTCCTTTTCCTTTCAATCACTAAATCGGCAAACCAAATGGAGCCTTAGGATTGTTGCAAACAAACTATTTTGAGCATACGGAAGTAAATATTCTGCCGAAATGGTTCTTAATGGAAATAGTGTTGTTAACTCCTAGCTTCATTTCTTTTCTATGTTTGACATGATGTTCTTTAGTTCTATGGAACACAAAGCAACAAAATGAAATGTGAATGAGCAAGAGGGCTCAAATCATTTGGATTACAACAGTGCCAAGTAATATTTCTTTGCATTTTTACAACATGCATGGATAAGGCTGCTATGCACAGTCCATTTTTTCAGAAGAAGAATCCAAAAGTTAATGAATTAAAAGCCTTTTTGTCCCCTTTTCCCAATAGGAAAAACTAAAAGCCAATTTTGGCAACTATGGAAATCTGTGGGCAAGTTTGGTGATTTTCCAATATCAATTGCGGAAAATATTCTTACCAAAAACGCGAAATGATGTGAGAAAGTCTATGGCTCCATTTGGTGGAGCTTTCAAAATATAATTTCACACTCACTTTTGAGTGTGGTGTTTGTTTAGCATTTTTAAAAATTAAATATACATTCACTTTTGAAAACTCTTTCTAAGGCAGAAAATTTGAGCTAACCGATCGTCCCACTGGGTTGTGTATTTGGTTATAAGTTATAAGTTATAAGTTTTTGTATCAAATATCATATGTCACAACACTCAATTCAAACTCAATTTAAAACTATTTTCAAAACTCATAACCAAACAAATTTTTCACACTCAAATCATAATTCCAAAATTCACAAACTCAAAATACAACTCCATTTTCAAATCAAAATTCTAAAACTCTACCAAACACTACCTATATTTTCCGATCATCATTTCAAGAAAAACTATTTTATGTTGCACTTTATAGTTGCAAAAAGAAATCTTGGGTTTGCTATGCTCATTGTTTGGTATGGCAGGGGTGATGCCTGGGTCGTTTAAGGATCTTTTTCCTTATTGGCATAGGGGTTACCCGAGGGGAGGAGATAAGAAAGTTCTTTTTGTCCTTACTCAAAATTGTATTGAGAAGATAACCTTAAAGGAGATGGGAAGGATTGGGATGTGGCTCCTTTATGTTTAATGTGGTGTGTGTGGAGAGAGAAGAAAATGAAATCTTTTGGCAGTGTGGACTGCTCTACTGATCTTTTGAAATGAACTGTTCTTGTTAGGCATTTTATCTATCTAAAAGTCACTATAACATATATATATATATACATATTTTATTTTGCCTATCCAATTTTTTATGTTTTCATTCCAACCCTGCTTTTTATTTTAGCTATTCATCCAAATACTACTCACTTTATTGGAATGCCACATCAACAACAAAGATAGAGGGAATGGATCATGAGAGTCAAAAAGATTTTGCCTAGCCTTTGAAATCTAGCTAGCTAGTGAATATGAACTGAGACAAAATGCGTAACCATATGCTTAGTGGGTTGGAGATGCTCTTTTCTTTTTTGGCCCAAGGAGGATTATTCCATTTGTTGCCTTCTTCTATAGATTTTTTAGGATTCATATATATATATATATATATTACACTACTAATTTAAGCTGCAATTCAAAAAGATAAAATCAAATCAAATAAAAGCTGGGTATTCATTTTCTCCTTTATTGAATTAAAAATAAATAAATAAAATAAAGTCACTCAATGATTCCCATAAATTCCATCCCCAAATGTTGTTTGCCTGTTTTCTAGCAGAACTTAACAATGTACACATACACACACATACATCTATATCCACAATATTATCTTCAGTATATAACAAACAAATGATTGAAATAGAAAATCAACTTACAGGAAGCCCAAAGATGACTACTTTTTTGTCCTGAAACATAACATTAACCAAATTAATAAATAAATAAATAAATAAATAAAAACTAGACCCAGGTCCAATAATAATAGAACAAACAAGAGGATTAAAATTAAGATTGAAAATTAGCGAACCTTAAATATGTCTTTGAGAGGTGTAGTGGCGAACTTAGAGGCGACGCCTTCGTCCCAGCTCCGAGCTTTCTGGAGAGAAACGTCCGGCGCGGCGGAGACCAGATCCGTCCCCACCGCCACGGAGGCGAAGGCTCGCCGCCATGACGCAGCCACCGTCGCCGATCGCTTTAACATTGCAGAGGCCATAGATTTGTACGGATAACACCTCGCTTTTCTCAATTGCTCTCTTCGTTGATTCTTTGCTGCCGGTGGTTGGTTAGCATGTTCACAAGGGATTTAATAAAAATCACATAATTTTATATTTTTTTTAGTTATAATTAAAATTAGATAACTAAAAATTTTGTGGGTTAAATGGTTCAAATCAATTTTGAGTGTAAAATGATGCCGTTTTGACAGATTTAAGCCATTTGAATCACAAAATTTTGATCTATCAAACATTTTTCAATTAAAAATAAAAAATAAAAAATTAGGTTATAATTATAATTAAAATTTTAAAATAATATTATAATTAAAAATAAAAATTTGTCATAATTAAAAAAGTTGGTATAATTCAAAATACATATAATTTGAAGGTGCAAGGATGCTCTCCCCTAATAAGCATGTTTTATGTCTCAATTCATTCACAATCATTAAATATATTTTAAGATTTTCACATTTTGTGATGCTCATATGATCCAATGACAATGAGTAAATTTGAACAAAAGCATAGAATTATTTAATCCAATGACAATGAGTAAATTTGAACAAAAGCATAGACTTATTTGAAGACAAAAGAATAGAATTATTTGGAAACAGACATCCTTGCACAATTTGAGGGGAGTGTATAATAGAATCTTCCTTACTATATGGTGTGGGTAGGATCTACTGGATGAGGATGTTGAGGATGGTGTAAATTGGTGTTGGGCTAGGATTTGCAATTGGGCTTACATCTGAGAGCCAACTTGGTTTATGGGCTTTCTCTAGGTTTCTATAGCAAGCAGGGTTGATAAATGAATCAAACGAATCAAACAGTTAATCATTTAAATTTGATTTGAAATTTTTAAATTTTGTTTAGGCTTGATTAGTTAAACTTCTAGAGTCAGTTTCAAATGAGTTTTTATCGAGCCAAGCTCGAGTAATTTGACGTTTCTATATAATTTTAGGCCTATCGAATCGAGTCGAACAAACAATTAATTGTTCAAGTTTAGTTTGAAAACTTTAACGAGTTCCAAAATATATTCAAGGTTAATTTGTTTACTTAAAGAACTAAGCTCAAACAAGTATTTAATAAGCCAAACATGAGTTGAGTTTAAACTGTTCGGTTCGTTTATCACCCCTAACAACAATAAAGGTAGAAGGGAGTTAAGTATTGAGAGGGAGATTTATGAGTCGAGAGTGGGCCGAGATAAAAGCCGAGCAAGTTGAAGGCCCAAGGGCGTGTTGGGCCGAGATAGCTTAGGACTTGCTCGGAATTGGGGCCGCCTGGCCCGTGGCCGAACTACTCGCACCGGTGGTGACCGTGCAACTTGCGTTGCTCGGCCAGAAGGCATACGCCTTTGCCTCGGCAGGGAGGCTCGTGCCAGAAGCTCGGCAGGAAAGCCTTTGGTTGATCGGCGTGACCTTTCCGGAGCTCGACTTCGCCGGAATGCAGTCGAGCACGATAGGGACGGAGCTCGGCTATTGCTACACTTGGGCATGAAATGCAGCCTGGATGTCGGCGGCTGTGATGCTGTACCCCGGTTGCCGAGCTCCCAGCAGAGTGGGCTGGCAGTTGGGTTAGGTAACGTACAACAAGATTTGTGTTGACGGATGGGATAGCAGCACCACGTGTCGAGAGACGAATGGGAGTAGATTTGGGGCGCAAAAGGTATATAAATGGGTCTGCACCCCCCATGCCTAGACAGATGACAATTTGGTGAGACATACACTAAACACTCAACACCCTCCTCTCACTCCCTCTCTATCTCTGTGTGTGTGTCTAACTTGATCGTCGGAGGGGTTTTCCGGCCACACACCGCCGGGTAGCTCACCGCCGTTGTGCTCGCAGGTCGATCGGACAAGGAGGAGCTTGGAAGAAAGGAGTGTGGGCTTGCCTAAATATTTGCTCCCCGCACAATTGGCGCCGTCTGTGGAAACTTTGCAGACAAAACCTTATCTTCCAGGCTCGTCTGATCATCGTCCATGGCGAACAACGAAAAGATTCCGCTGTCCGCCGTCGACGGAGTTACCCCGGAGTCGAGCAGATGAAGAGAAGGACATCCCACCATCATTCCTCCGATGGCGGACCTGGAGACTTCTCCAGGAGGACACTCAAGAGACGCGCGGGATAAGCGCAGAAGAAGTTATGGTCATTCACGGAGTCCAGACGGTCATCGGTGGCGGAGAGAATCGCACGCCAAACGTCTGGAGCACAAGCTAAGGGACCAGGACGCCGTCATCCGGCGAATGGCGGCGGAGATGGAGGAGCTAAAGCGGCATGTCAAAGGGAAGGGTATAGCTAGAGGGGGAGACCACAGTGAGCGCACCCAACCCCGCCGTTCAGGCAATCAGAGTCAACAGCACACTCCTTCTATTTCTATTACCAGAAGTTACAAGGTTGCAGATCCCAACGTGCATGTAGAAAAATCCAGCGTGCAAGATAGCACTTACCAGCCCTCACGTCCGGTGACGATGTCGAGGTGCTCCTATTCCGCTCGTTCAGAGGATTTACAGGCAGTTTTGAAGGAACAGGCTCGCCGGCAGGAGGCTCAAAGGGTGCCGGCGTTCCAGCGGCTATCCTATGGGGTTCACGCCAGCGAGGAGGTCGAAATGCCTTCACCCCGCCCAGCCGCGCCTCTCCTTGTAGACACAAACTTGGCGAGGCTGAGTGCCACCCCATTCTCCGTGGATATAGAGATCGCACCGCTTCCGGCAGGCTTCCACCAGCCAAAGTTCACGCTCTATGACGGAAAAATTGACCCGTATATACATGTAAGTCATTTCCGACAGGTCATGGCCGGACATAGGCAGAATGACGCTCTTATGTGCTTGATCTTCCCGTTGAGTTTGGGCGAGCTGGGTTTGAAATGGTTCGAGAGGTTGTCGGAGGGAAGCATTGAAAGGTGGCAGCAGTTGGCCGAAGCCTTTGTGACGCGCTTCAAAACCAACACCAAAACACCAAAGGAAATTGATCACCTCCTGAGTGTCAAGATGGAACCAAGCGACACATTGAAAGCATACAACTCCAGGTATTGGGAGACCTTCAACAAGATCTTGGATTGCCCGGTCAACCTTGCAATCACACAATACAAGCGTGGTCTCCCGGTCAGACATAGACTGCGGGACTCGCTTACCATGCACCAGCCGACATCCATGGGCCAACTAATGCAGCGCATTAATGAGCACATCTGAGTGGAGGATGATGCGTCAGCATCTGCCGTGAAGGCAACTCCAGTAGCAGCAGACAAGCGGCCGGCTGGCAAAGTGCACGCGGTCGGACAAGAGTCCAGCCGTTCAAATGACCGCGCTGAGGAATCGGACCGTGGCTCGAATCGCAAAAATTGGAGTAGGGGACGTCGGAATGACCGGGATGACTACCCCCGGCATGACGTAGTCGATGCAAACAAAAGGTTGAAAGCAAGGACAGGCATCACCACGGTCTTTAAGATTCCAATCTATCGCATACTTAGTGAAATCCGTGACGAGGAGTATGTCCGGTTTCCTGCTAAGTTAGGCGACGGACAGAAGGGCTTCAATCCGCAGTACCGTTGCACGTTTCACCGGGAGCGAGACCATCGGACAGAGGATTGTTTGCCTTTGAGGCAACACTTGGAAGAGCTAGTCGCAGCAGGACACTTGGACCTTTACATTGATGGCGGTGTGAAGGCCAATCAAGCTCCGATTGACCCGCGGGGACCGAATAACCGAGATGCGCCTCCCCAAGGGGTTATTAATGTCATCCACGGCATAGTGGAACCGGCGCGTGTATGCGAGCTCCAAGGTATGATCAAGAAGGCAGAGCACATAAGGGAAGTTTTGTCGGTTCAGCCTGCTATCAAGAGGGGGAAGACCGAAGAGAAAGATGTGATCAGTTTCTCTTCAAGAGACCTAGAGCGCATCCAGACGCCGCACAACGATGCCCTAGTGGTTACACTCCACGTCAAAGAGTTTGATGTCAAATGGATCTTGATCGATCAGGGAAGCTCGGTTGAGATCACGTATTACGACGCCTTTAAACAACTCAAACTCCGGGATACAGATCTGGCCCCGGCAATTTCACCACTGGTTGGTTTCAACTAACAACCGGAGTGGCCTTTGGGAAAGATTATCCTGCCGGTCAAAGCGGGATCCGTGGTCAAACAAGTGGAGTTCTGGGTGTTGCATGTGCCATCCACTTACAATTTGATCCTGGGAAGGGGATGGCTTCACGCTATGCAAGCCGTAGCGTCGACCTATCATCAGGTAATGAGATTTCCCTCAGTTATGAGGGCAATCGAGGAGATTTAGAGCGATCAAGTCATGTCGAAGCAATGCTTCGTGGCGGTCAACAGGAGCCGAGCCGCCAAAGGATTCGTTCAAATGATTGAAGGACCGGAAGACCGGGGAGTCCTTGACGACGTGGGCACCAAGGCCGAGGACAAAGCTGTCGAGGAATTGGTGGAAGTGCGCATTGATATAGAGCGTCCGGACAATTTCTTCTTGCTCGGCTCAAGCCTTACAGCCCAAGAGAGGACCGACATGGTTGATTTTTTTATGGCCAACATCGAAGTCTTCGCATGGTCACCTTACGACATGCCCGGTCTTGATCCGAGTTTTATATGCCATCATCTCAATGTCTTCTCTAGAGCCAAGCCAGTCATTTAGCGAACAAGGAGATCGGCGCTGCATCACGCCGAGATAGTTGCGGAGGAAGTGAAGAACTTGCTTGAGGCGCGAGCAATTCAAGAAATGCACTACCCTCGGTGGATTTCAAACACGGTCGTGGTGCCCAAGAAGAATGGAAAGTGGCAAGTTTGCGTTGACTACAAGACCGTCAACCGAGCTTGTCCGAAAGACAGCTTCCCTCTGCCTAGAATAGACCAGCTTGTGGACTTAACGGCTGGACATAACAGGCTCAGTTTCTTGGACGCCTACCACGGCTACCATCAGATTGCCATGCATGAGCCCGACTGAGAGATCACCTCGTTTACTACACCAAGGGGACTCTTCTACTACCAAGTCATGCCTTTTGGTTTGAAGAACGCCGGGGCAACTTTTCAAAGGATGGTGACCAAGATGTTCGCTCTTCTGCTAGGCCGGACAATTGAGGCTTATATTGA